TGAAATAATCCAATTAAAACAGCAAATAGCTGATAAAAAAAAATAGAAAGAAACTGCCAGGTCAAAATCTAAGGGAAAGCAGGAACTTAAAGAGGTGAGCAGGCAGGCAGGCACTTTTATCCTACAAGGGTCCTGTTGTTCATAGGAGGATATTTGAACTGATTTCAGCAGCCTCATTGGCGGAAGCAGAACAGAAATCAAAGCCCAGGACCCATACAAGTGCAGAGAATAAAGAGGCTTTCTTCACATTAAGCAGGGCTTTTAGGAGCCACATCCTAAAAATAAGGGTGAGCAGTAATAAACCCACCTCCCACTCTGAGACCCTCCCAAGAACAGCTGCTTTTGTATATAAAGACAGCATAGGTGGGGCTACCTGAGAGGTTTCATCCAGAAGCTAGGTCTTCTGTGCAAAACTGTGGCCTATGCTCACATCACCTGGGTGGGCTAAAACAGTGGTGAATTTAAGTTAAAGTGCTCCCTGATTAGAAGTGCAGCCAGGCACCTGGCAGAAAAAAAGCAAATCCTCCCTGAAGAAAGGCCATTATTCTAAGCCTCAAAGAATCCTTGCAAGTAATTTTTCAGCAGAAATGACAAATTCCTAGTCAAAAATAACCATACACAAGGACAGACAGATAAGATAGGAGAGCAGGGACTCTACTAAAAATATACATGCCAAGAACTAATTCATGCTTTAATGAACCCTGCAGCATGTATTCATTCACTTATTCCACATAGGTGTACTGAGCACCTACTCTGTGACAGGCTTTGCAGCAGGTGCTGGACATAGACAGTTTCAGCTGCCATATAAACAAGTCACCCAGGGGCTAAAAGCTCAGTTGAAATACCATTATATTGATTTTTTTGTCTCTACTTCCTGAGTTTTCCTAAGGCTTCTAAACACAGGTCTAAGGAGTGCCCGTTACCATCTTGTGATAGACTTTGAAATAAACACAAACCTCTTAGGACTGAGATTGACACCATTGATTCCTCTCTCAGATTTTCATTCCCTAAAAGTTCTATGGTTGAGCTAAGCCTAATTATACTCAAAGCAAACCATACAGCCACATGGATGAGCAGAAATGTGTAAAAGACAGAGACAGCTATCTCAGAGACATTAAACTTGAAGTTAACTAAGTTTATATTTAACTGTATGAAAGTCCAAACAGAAGACTTATTATGGGGAATAATAATGTGCATTGGGGAGCTTTGATTTTAAGGTAGATCTGGAACCAGGAAGGGTGGAGAGAAGTTAGGCCAATATTTACTTACACGTGGACTGCCTTTCCTAACCAAAGTTGTTGGTAAAAACTTGCTAATACAATATTTGGGTTACTTAGGTGTGTCTATCCTAACTATCCACCTGTGTTTTCTATCCATGCTTTTACAATAAAGATTCAAATGTCACCTCTATACTTCTTCATTTGTCTTCCCTTGTTAAATATTCCAGCAGTTGTCATTTACCAGGCCTCCAGAGAACAGTATGACCTCATGCTTCCCTCTTAAGTATGTCAAACCACAACAGTATAATGTAATAATGATAATACAAGTCAGCAGGTGTGGTAGTGCACACATGTAATCCCAGTACTCAGGAAGCTGAGGCAGGAGGATCACAAGTTTGAGGGCAGCCTGGGCTACATAGTGAGTTCCAGCCTGGCCTAGGTTATACAGTAAAACCCTGTCAATTATAACAATAACAGTAATAATAATAATAATGGAAGTCATATTATTATTTCATTTTACAGATGAAGAAACAACAGGCTAGAGAGGTGAAACAGAGGTGTAGAGGAGGTAGAACATGAGTGTGGCAGTTGTACAAACCTAAATTTAAATCATGCCCCACCCTTTGCATTTCTCCTCCCCTAGAGATGAGGCTCAGTGGTTATCTAACAGGGGTGCTGTTCGGATGAGATGACATTCAGTGTGTCTGAGGTGCATGGCAGTAGAAGGTGCTTGTTTCTCCCTCCTTCTAGTGACTCCTCATCTAGACATTTATGTCTTGCCTTAGGTAGTGTCTTCAAATGCTATTTCAGCGTTATATAGAATTTTTACAACAATGAAAATGCAGATAGTCCCTCACAGCTACAGCCTTATGATTTTGAATACACCTTCATTTCTTCCCAACATTGATTTGCTTGATCTTTTAGAAAGTAATGTAGGATCTCAGTCATTCTTTAAATTGGATGTTTTCCAGAACATCATAACATTATCTGTGAGTCTTGAAAAATGCTAATCAGGAAATGATGCAAGAAGGACCCAGCCTTTGCTTTCCTTTCTTTCCGGTCCTCTGGAGGCGCTCTGCCTATTTCCTTCCCTGGTAGCATTTCTCTCTCTGTCTCTCTCTCTCTCTCTCTCTTTCTGTGTGTGTGTGTGTGTGTGTGTGTGTGTGTGTGTGCAGGTGATGGGGTTGGAAGGTGGCCTAGGTTGGAGGTAAGTCAAGGGTGGAAGGGAGGGATATGACTAGTAGCTGTTCCTTTGGTTTCCATGGTAAGGATGGCTAGCACAGAAGGAATGTACCGTCTTCCTTTATAAAAAGAACATTTCATTTTTTCTCAAGCTTATGAAAAAAATCATCCTACACTCTTTCATTTAACCCCAAATTATTTGCTCTTCCTAGAGTAGTGTGAACTGAAAGGCTATAGTCATCCAGTGAGTAGACAAAAATTCTGGGAAAGATGTTTTGTTTTTGACAAAAATTTGCTAATAGAATATTTGGGTTATGTTTTTGGGTTTATACTAATTATCAGACTGTATCTTCTACGCAGGTTCAGTGTCACCATCTGGCACACAGAAGGAGTTCAACAAACATTTGAAGTTACTGCAGTGGCTTCTGTGACAATTGACTGTGCTCTACTGATAATAATAAAAAAAAATGTAATGATTCCTGCAAGTCCCTAAAAAGACTCACAGGCTGGCTTCTAAGAGGAGCAAGACTTTCTTCTCAAATCATTGATTAATTCACAGGCCACATGTGTAGACAGGTTTATTTTCATCTGCAAGATTTCCAAATACATTTTGAGTTAATAGCTAAGGCTTGAGAGATTTTATGTGTCCTTGCAGCTGGCTTGGTGTAGATAGTACCAATAGCACCTATCAGACCCTTTTGGGAACTTGTGTCAGTGGCTGCATTATAACTGTTAAATTCAGTAAAATTTCAGGTCGTGTTTCAGTAAGCTGCTTAGGGGATTAATTTAAACCTATATAGAGCACACACACACACACACACACACACACACACACCCCAATAAGAATTAAAAGACTCAAATTGTATAAATACAAAACCAATCTGTAGTCCTCAAATTCCTTCCTCACAATGGTGTAGAGTCCCCCTCTTTACCCCTCCACTTCCCAGGTTCTTGCTGAGGGGAGAGATGAAAAGGAGGGTCCACTCTCTGACTAATGCTTGGCAAAGCCCTCAACAGAACTGGAAGGGGTCTGGATGTGAACAAGGAGGTGAGAATAAACACCTACTGATAGAAAATTTGACTGCTACAGCATCTTGTCATTTATGACCTTGCAGAAATTAATGAGAATGAACTAGGAATTCAGGTGATTTCACTTAATATTTTAAAAACACATTACAAGGCTGAGAATCCCTCCACTTCAAAATCAACCCTGTAAGAGGCATCTATTCCAAATGAATCCCACTTTCTTCCTGGATCCTCTTGCTAGTCCACTGTGGTCCCCTAAAGTCACAAGAGTCCCCACCCTTTTCCCTTGCTGGTCAAGCCACACTTCCAGTCGGTGCACAGCCCTCTCCACTCTCCTTCCCTCATTCTTGATCCCCCCCATTCCGCCACTAATACTTAAGTAATAAGCAATGTATAAGAGTGATGAATATTTGTGGAGTACCACACATCTAACTATTTGAGAAAGGACTACTCATTTAGTTAACTACACAATCACTTGAAGTTTGCAGATGGTCCTCAAAGTGGAATGTTCAGCAGGCAGACCGCTGGGTGGGATTTTAATCAAGGCTTGTAGATCACATCAGAGGAAACCCAAATGCTGTCTGTAAGCCTCCTTTCAAGACTTAAGAGTCTACGGTTACTACTGCCATTTCCCCCTCCTTTACTGGGGTACAGTTGACAAACAGAACTTCTGCCGTGTACAGTGTATGTGTGTTGCTGGGAATTGAACCCAGGACCTGGCACACCGTACACAAGCTCTCTACCACTGAGCCACATCGCTAGTCCGACTGCTGGTATTTTTAAGGATGCGAACTTTGTAAGCCAGTGTTGCTATATGGGAAAGGAACTTTTCTCTGACATGCCCTCATCTCTCCTATTAAAACAGGACAGCTCAGATTAATTGCGGAGAAAACCGTCACGCCTGCAAACAGTCCCCTCATCTTATTCCTCAAACTGAGGAGTCCCCTCCTTCATTTCTCAGCTTGAGGCGCCATCTGATCGCCAACAGGGAGAGCAATCATATTTTGCTAGAGGGCTAAATCCTGCCGGTAATAGAAAAGCGATTTCCTCCAGTTAGCCCACAAAATTGCAGTTTCGCCTATGAAAAGTCCGTCATTAAAATCCACTCCAAGAAGGTGTCATGGTCAAAACCCCAGTGACTGTCGCTGACGTGTGCCCAGGCTCTGACCTGGCAGGAGCCGAGTCAGCTCAGTCCACCACCCACTCTGTGCCGAGATCCTGCGGAGAAAAGGCAGGTCTGGAAGCGCTCTAGGGGAAGAAAGGGACTTTCCCATCTCTGGTCCTGGCTCCAAATCGAGACCCACTTTGCAAGCTGAGGAGGTCCCGGCCTGGAGTGTCCTCCTGCCCCGGCACCAAGCACAGGTTCCCAGGGGTGCGGGGTGTAGCGGGGCTGCCGGGGACCCCACGCGCCGCGCGTCTTCCTCCCGCGTCGCTACTCCCTCCCGGCGCTGGAGCCCCGCGCGGCGCCGCTCGCCTCCTGCAGGGAGGGTGGGAACCGGGGCGGGAGGAGGGGGTGGCGGGCAGCACGGAGGAAGGGAGGAGGGGAAGGCAGGCAGAAGACTCCAAGCCTACCGTCTTCTGCTTCTTGATCCCCGACATGCTGGCTGGCTGTGGCGGAGTCCGGGTCCCGGGACCAGAGACAGAAGGTCGCAGGGATGGCGGTGGCAGCGATTGCTGCCAGACTCCGGAGAAGGAGGTATAAAAAGGCTCCGTCCGCAGACACGTCGCACTTCCCTTGACCAGCCCCCTTCTCCTCCTGCTCCTCCCGCCGCGCTCCTCTCCGCCCCGTCGGCTGCGCCCAGCCCCGGGAACCCGGCGGTCGCCTGGGCGGGGTCCCAGCCAAGCCTCGGGTTCACTGGCGCGCGCTCCGCCAGCCCAGGGTCCAAGGCAAGACTTTGGAATCCCAGCCATACACCGGCTCGTTCCGCAACGCAGCCCGGGTCAAGTTCGCCCTCGCTCTGCCCACCCCTGCAGTGTCCCAGCGAGTCCCCCACCTTCCAACCCCACCCCAGCACCTCTTTCAGAACTTCTGAGATCCAAGAGTTTATTTCGTTCAGGGCAAGGATGACTGAAGCCAGCAGGCTTGCTGGCATGATTCTCAGAGGGCACTGATGTGCAGCATGTCTTCATATGCAGTAGCTTAATATTTATAGAACTCTGCGCTCCACAGAGCTTTGCCTTAATCCCGGCCTCCCCCCCACCCCCTTCGCCCCAATCCCCACCCTGCCTCAGGCTGCAAGTCTTTTCTCCCCATTTTTTACAAATGAGGCAACTGAGGCTTTCAGACTTTCCCAATATATTCCAATTGAGGGGTTTCAAGCCAGGCTGTCAGCAGTGCAGACTTTGTATACCAGCATAACGATGCAAGATAATAAAAGAGCGAGGCCCCTGAATAATCTGTGCACTACATGCTGGTGAGAATTATGCCAGGTTTACATACATCCACTGCTCTCCAGCTCTCAGTATGTCCTTCTTGCACTGGGGCCTGGGAAGGCCCTGCTCCTCCTCACAAGCAAGTAAGCCAGGCCATCCCCAGGCAGTGAGTGGTCAATGTTAGCTCAGAGACTTGTTTCAGTCCATCCCAAAACATTTTCCTACAGTGGCACTTCTGCCAGCTGGGAGGAACCTCGTGGAGAAAGAGAAAAGGGAGGCACAAGTTGAGGAGACTATCGCTCCAAGATTTTATCTGAGGTCAGTAGAAGGCAACCCTCTGAAAAAACAAAATGTCAGAGACAAGCAGAGGTAAGGATGAGAAAAGCTATAATGACAAGTACCTTTGGGGTAGTCATGGGTTCACATCCTTTGTATCTTAACTCCCTGCATGGTGCTACAAAACATAAATATGACAGTAAACTAAACAGAACCAAGACACACAAGGGTCACACTCCAAGTCTGGTCTTCCTTCTGTGGAAGGGCCCAGGAAGCTACATTCTAAGACCTCCTTAGAGGTCTTAGAACTTTTCTTTCATACCTAATTGTATTTCTGGAAGACTGCCAGTTCTTCAGACATCTGAAGATCTTAGTGTTCACTGACTTCCCTTCTTCATGGGAAGGTGGGAAAGAAAAATAAATCAGGAGTGAAAACCTTAAAAGGCAGACTGCAAACCTATAGTCTGGAGATATGGGCCTACTTGCTTTCTTACTCATTTGAGTAAATTACCACCCTTCTCTGCACATGTGAGCAGCTAGGGACCAAATACTGGGTTTGAGTTTCTGTTCTGCATACAAACTAGCACATTTTGAATTTATGCGAAGTTCAAACAGCAACAGTCTGCTCTTATTACATTGGGAAAATCCTTTTATTATTAGGTCTAACCATATCTTGGACCTTGCCAAATCTTGCCCTGATAGAAGGTAAATTACATGTGGATTGAGAAATCCACATGCACTTTGCATGATTGATTTTTTTTTATTGCATTAAAAAGAACTATGTTCTTGAAAATGATGGAAGTTAAGGGGTAAATCCCTAAGGGCTATTTCCTGGGAGGAAATACATGATTGTTTAGAATTGGGGGCAGTTTTGAGATCTTTTGCCCAATTCCCCTCCCTTCATTTTCCTATTCTCTCATGTAACAATGTAAATCTGGTGTTCAGGGAAGGAAATACCCTGGCCATGATCTGATCACTTGTTAGGGACAGCCAATAACCCAAATGCTCTGACCACTGAATTGCTATTCCAAGACCCCTTCATAACTATAAACTGGAGTATTTTATCTTGTTTTAGATTGAACTAATTTTCAAATAGTACTTTGGGAGAGATTACTGTTATTATTCTAAAGACTTGTGAAATTAAAGGTCTCATCTCTCTGGGATTCAAGCTGATTTGTTCCTACTCTTTTTTGAGGAGGAAGTACTGGGATTTGAACTCAGGGCCTCACACTTGCTAAGCCAGGTTCTCTTACCACTTGAGCCACACCGCCAGTCTGCGTTGTCCTTACTCTTTAATTTCCCAGATCATCTGTTTAGTCATAATTCAGCATGGCAGTGTACCAAAAAGGTTTTCTTTAAAAAAAAAAAAACAATAAATAAAACATACTTTCTTACTTTCCAAGGTTTTTCTTCTTAAAGACAAGGTCTTGAATTCTTTTTCAGCTCACTACCTCTTGCTCCTATAAGAGAGCGTTTCTGTTGAAAAGGTAGGCTACTAGAAGCTTAATTTATGGAGTCTGATTCTGGCACACTGGAACTGGAGAAGACTCATTCTGTGGAAGCGGGAAAGGGTTGAAGTTTGTCCATTTATATGGACACATTCTCTACAACTTCCTCATGAATGTTCTTTCTAACACTCCCCTATGAAACATGGAGGATTAATTGTACTAATTTATAATCCTTGAATCTCTCACAACATTCACATGAGGGTTGGGTTCTCCCCTCCCCTCCCCCACTTTTTCTTTTTCCAGAAACTGGTTGGTGCTTAATACTTGATCCTTTTGTTGTTTAGAAAAGTTGGAATCAGCCAACTCACCCAAATAATCAGTGGATATGCAAAGAGTGCCGGTGTTGGTGACTTCACTATTTCCCCCCAACGTATTTTAGGGGTGGTCATCACATTTTAGTAGATCTAGCAAAGCACCAAACCTAGATGGTCATTACAAAGGTATGCATCTGCATTGCCCCCTAGTGGTTGTAATGCATAAATGCTAAAAGGGACCTAATTGTTGAAACTTGCTGGTCAAAATTGTGCAGTGTGCCAGTGCATAAAGAAGCACTTAGTGAAAGTCTTCTAAGATCCAAATACACTTTCCCAAGCACAGGCACTACTGCTTCTTGAAGATGGTCCCTGTCTTCAAGAAACTCACAATCTATTGAAGGGAAAAGATTCCCTTTAACCCCATCATTTCAATACAATACATGCTTGGGACGGGAAAATGATAAGGCATTTTCCCTTATCGTTAATCATAATTAATGATTAGACATTTTATTTTGACATAAAACACATACACCTCACTAGTATTTTGATATGAAGGGCTTCCATTGTGGTTTGGGTCTACTAATGGGAGTTCCCCAAGCTACGTTCATTAGATATTCAGTGAAACAATTCCAGTTTAGAGTTTTATAAAGTAGAGTTGGAAATTAACGGCACTTCAGAAACATTCTGAGAAATAACAACACTCTTGATTCCTTCAAGATTGCAACATACCTTTACCCCATCTTTGCTTGCTGTCTTGCCCACAGCTAATATTGTGGGAGCACAAACAAGGAGGGATATCCAGTTCCACTTTGTGAGAAACAAAAGTGGAGATGTCAAGAGTTTCTTGGGGGAAAATGATAGAGGACCTGAGACTTTAAAACTGGTAGTTTAATGAGCCCTCTCCTCTCCAAAGCAGATGATGTAAAAATCTGAAATGCAGAGAGATGCTTGATGTAATATGGTACGCTTAGAAAATTACAAGTATCTGTACTGTGGATTTTAGAAGCTGTAACAGAAGAGTGGAGAAGGTTATAATAAGTGTTAGCCACGTGGCTGGTCTTCGTTGTAATTACGGTACACTTCTCAGCCCAAGGATGAGAAGTCACTCTCCTGAGGTATCCATAGTCTAGTGATGGAGATGGAATACACACACACACACACACACACACACACAAGTAACTTAAAGGAAAATTTCTTAAGTCCTAGAATAAATGGATGTGAAAAGTAATAGGGAAAGTGTAAGAACAACCTCCCCAAAAAAGGGGCAATGACTGACTGTTGGACTATGAAGAGATTTGTAGGGGTGATGATATTGGACCTGTGTTTTCAAGGTGAAAGGTGATCTGCTACCCTACTTACTGACGGCTAAGGCTGTCTGGAATGATGTCACTGCCTGTAGGAAGTATTCATTTCTTACCCTGATGTTCCCTATGTCTCCTTTCTGAAGTATTTCAGCCTGTTACTGAAGACTCGGACAGTCTACAGAGAAAAATTAATGACATGCAGACATTACACAGGCAGCCCAGAGGGAAGAGTCCATACTCCTCAGGCAAAAGTAATAATCTACGCCAGTTTGTGGGTGGAATTTAAAAGGAGAATATTTATTAGTACACTCATACTTTACACAATGTAGATACAATTAGGACATTTATAGGAATTCACTCCAAATTTCAACAAATCTCAGTGAAAACAACAGTTCTATTGTTTGATGTTAGGTAGATCAATCATATCAGTTAATTGGCTGAAATTTTCAGCTTTCCACAGCTTCTTTATTTGTTTATGGATTCCTTGTTCATTATTTTATTAGCATATAATAATTGTACAGGTGGATACACTGTGATACTTACATTTGTGTTTAAAATATATCTTAGTGGATTTACCCCTCCATTGTTCTCCCTCCTCCCCCCTTCCCCATTCTTAAAACAATTTCAACAAGTTTAATTCTTCTATTTTCATATGTGGATACAAAACATATCCACCATATTCGCCCTCATTTCCCTTTCCCTGTGCCCACCTTCCTCCCGCTGGTACCCCTCCAAAAGATTTATTTTGCCCTCCTGCCCTTCATTTTTAAAAAATTAAGTGTATATGGGTAGTCCAAGGGGATTTCTCCTTGGTACTTCAGATCTGTATACATTGTGCTTTAATCAAATTGACCCCCTTCCCCATTACTTACTCACTATTACCATGCTCCCCTAATATTCAACAGCATACTGTACAGTGCATTATGTTATATTCATACACATAGATGTG